AAAAAGATGAAAACATTTACCTTTGTTAAAATTATTTTACAACTGAAGCACAATTCTCAAGATATTATCGCATAATTTGTTATTAGAAAAATGCCTTATTTGTTAAGCAACTAATACTAAAAATTTAAAATCTGTAAAAAGATTCCGAAGCCGTGCCAATTTTAGAATCATATTCTGATTTGACAAACGTAATAAAAAATACTCAATTTTCGAGCTTATTTTGATGAAAAAAAATACACAGTGAGAAGGTTAACATACTTTTTACAGAAACTGCGAACACCAATTTTTTCCAATATTTCGTCATAAGAGGATAAGAATTATATTGCTCCAAGAAACCTATTCAATAATTTTGTTATTTCCAGAATTGAAATCTGTTTGTACGAAATATATTATTCCATGAAAGCTAAAACGAGAAAAAAATTGATTATTATTATTTATCTAAGTTTACTCTGTTAATTTAATGATAGCGGTATCAAGGTTAAGGATATGCGATGGAAGCTCCGTTTATTATTTTACTATAAATGCATTTAATGATTTAGCTTGAATAATTTATTTTAAGAAAATTATTTAATAATTTTATGCAAATAAGGGTGTAAAATAAACTCCCTCGAAGTACGTATAAAATATACCCTAAAATATACGTAGAATAAACTTTGGAATCGATAAATGAAAAATACATTTTCAAGCAACTTTGAGTAGGGCGGAAATGCTAACTTTGAAATAACTGTCCTTGTAACTATTTAATTTTGATTCCTGGTGGTAGGAGACATTCCATTTTCATATTCGACTTTTGAAATTTCAATTGTAAATGGAATTTTCTTATGTCCTTAAAATATGTTATTAAGGCTAGCAGTAAAAAAAAATTGCCCTGCATTGATTTTTTTAGAAGAATGACTAATTATCATTTTTCACCCATACCTTTATCTTACGTTAAACTTATTTTAATATCGCGAGAAGTTATTTAATATACTGTGTTACTAAAAGAATAATCCAAACAAGCTGAATCAAAAAGATAAAAACTTCATTCACTTAAAGAATAATAGATGATAATAAAAGTAGTCATGTGTCCAATAATTAACGTCACAAGTCATTCACGCCTGACGAGTCTTGAGAATGAGCCCTTATGTTTGAAAGCTCGAAACATGTAGACTTTTATTTCCCTCTTCATACTTTTTAAAGCCAGTGAAGCTTTTAGCATCAATTACATTGTTTTGCATTTGGTTGATCATTATTTTGATGAGGACTTCATGCTCGTAAGAGTAAACATATGCATTTTAATATTTCAACAGGATTCATGCCAGAGTTGGCCAAAAATGTAATCGATTACATTTTTTGATTACAGTAATCAATTACTTGTAATCATGATTACAATTTTCAAAAATTTTGATTACAGCTGTAATCATGATTACAATATTGATTACAGTAATCAATTACTTGTAATCGTGATTACAAAGTTTGATTACAGCTGTAATCATGATTACATAGTCGATTACAGTAATCAATTACTTGTAATCATGATTACAATTTTCAAAAAATTTTGATTACAGCTGTAATCATGATTACAATTTTGATTACAGTAATCAATTACTTGTAATCATGATTCCAAGTAATTGCGATTACAAGTAATCACAACAAAAACGATTACAAGTAATTATGATTACAAGTAATCAAAATATATGATTACATGTAATTTGATTACATGTAATTTGATTACATGTAATTATGATTACATGTAATCTAATTACACGATTACAAGACTATTGTATTCTTATAAATGATTATATTTTACAGTAGATAGTAGAATGTATTTTATAATGATACATTTTGCACGTATTAACATGTACTGCATTTTGTACGTATTTGTATACGTACAAATGAATGTAACTGAAATGTATGTACATATGATTTTATCTAGTGCATATGTTCAGACATTTTAGTATCACACACATGTACATACACTTATATTGTAGGTATAAAATATATGTACGTATGTATATAGATAATAATTACGTATGTATGTGCAAACAATGTAGGCATGTACATTTATACACAATGAATATATGCATTTTATGCAAATATTTGTGTATGTAAAATGTATATCTATGTTCATGTACGCATGTATATACAAGTACTTGTGTTTGTACGAACATACATACATTGTCTGTACAATGTATGTCCCATGCATGTATGTGCAATTTATTTATGAACAGTACAATATATGTATGCATGTACAATATAGGTATATCTGTAGGATGTACAATATATGTATGTATACATGTACATGATATGCATGTCCAGTGTATTTATGTACATGTACATAATATGTTCATGCTCAATGTAAGTATCCAAATATGCATAATACATTTGTGAACTATTGTACGTACATTGGGCGTATTTATATTTCACATATATTCATACATGCATTCGACATGCATAACGTACGTACATACACACATTTGAGATGCATATATTGTACAGATGTATATACATATAGCGTACAGATGTATATACATATAGCGTACAGATGTATATTCATATAATGTACATATGATGAAATGAACATATAATGTTCATATAATGTACATATGTGTGTACATATACAGTACGTATGTGCATAAATATATTGGGCATAATTCTTTCGTACAAATTTTACATGTGTACATGCATGCTATCCCTATCTATGCATATGGTGCAATGTATATATGTACAATGAATGTATCCACACATGTACAATACACGTATGTTCCATGTATGCATATCCATATGTACTATATATGCACGTACAATACATGAATGTATGTACATACATTGTACATGCGTACATACATTACACGTATACATATGTACATTACATTTATGTCTAAATATGTGTACAATGCAATAAATAAAATGCATGTAAGTTAACTTTTAATGACTCAAGCAAGTTAAATGACAAAATCAAACGATATTTAAATTTAGTTTTCAGCTTTAATTGTTCTATATCATTTTGAAATTCTCTGAATAAAAAATTATTTTCAGGTATTTTCATGAAATGTTTGACAATACAGATTTATTTTTTTTATAACATAATGCATGATTCATAGAAATTTTTTAAATGGTAAGAAAAACGGTAAATTTTATGTGTGGAATTAATATTTAGAAATTCCAAATAAAATTATCGTTTGCTTTCTAAAAAATATGAGGTCGAGTTTCATATACCTTAGAATAATTTTAAAACAAATTTTAATAACTTTACTCATATAAATTTTTTTAATGTATGCACAATGTATGTGTATATTGTAATTACATATATTTAAATGTACGCACGTATTTGTACATTACTTGTAATTATGTACATGTATACGTTGTATGCACATGCATACATTGTGCATATAACTATTTTTTTGTACATCCATGCATTACATGCGCATAAGTATTAACAAAGTATGTAGTTATACAAGTACATACGTAAGTTGTACATAAGTACATACTTTGCGTGCACATATATCGATGTACATATAAATATGCATGTATACATGTACGCATTTTATTTACGCAACTATGTGCATATATTGTACCTTTAAATAACATTTTTACATATTGTACGCAAATACGTACAATTTTATATACAAACGTACATTGTATATACGTGCTATTATCGTAAATTTATACAATATATGCACTTAAGTACATAAAAGCATGCAAACGCATAAACATTATTTTCATATACGTTCATACATACATTGTCTATGTATACAAAGATACAAAACATTGCCTTTTTGTACAAACTAACATACATGCGTACATGTATCATAAATGCATAATTATATGTACTAAGCATATGCGCATTGCATTAAGTATATTACAATATAATTATGAATATTGTACGTACAAACAACGTTTGTGCATACATTGTATGTATAGGAATCGCAAATTGTACGTTCATGCGTGCGTACATTCTATGTACATAAAAATATGTAAACACATGAATACTTACATAAAAAATTTGACTATAGTATACAATCGTAATAACTTGTAATCGTATAGTTTGATTACAAGTAATCACAATTACATGTAATCAAATTACATGTAATCATGATTACATGTAATCATATATTTTGATTACTTGTAATCATAATTACTTGTAATCGTTTTTGTTGTGATTACTTGTAATCGCAATTACTTGTAATCATGATTACAAGTAATTGATTACTGTAATCAAAATTGTAATCATGATTACAGCTGTAATCAAAATTTTTTGAAAGTTGTAATCACGATTACAAGTAATTGATTACATAGCTGTAATTATCTGTAATCAATTACAGTTGTAATCGATTACTGTAATCAACGGCCAACTCTGATTCATGCGGTGTTTAAAAAAGTAAGAAAACCGTAACCCCAATATTGTAACTATGAAGTTATTGTTAACTTAAAAATTTTGAGAACAGATATTCTGAGTTAATATTTTATCTTTCAAGTTTTTGTGCCATTATTTCAATAACTTAAGTACATTACGAACTCTGTTTGAAAGGAGAGTATTGTATCAGCTATATGTAAGAAAACAAAGACATTATAGTAGTAACGATATTTGGTGATACATCTAGCTTATCGTAATTGAAGAGTCTGTAGTGCGACATTTTATGGTGAATTTGTGAATATAAGTTTCAGAATATATCGTAACACCAGGATGCTATTTGTATTTTGTTGAATTTGCTTTAGGCTCACAACCTGTTAAAATTTGTAAATTACAGGAAACTCTTTGGAATGGTGTAAAATTAGGTGTAAATTTAAACACAAATCACATTAATAAAACTTCCTAGAATATTAAGCCTGTTCCAACATAGCCTCGTGAGCATAACGTAAGTGGAGGGATACACCGGAAGTTATCTAAACTGTTTCCGGCTGTAGGAAGCTTGTTACTGTTTACTTTCAGTCTGGTTAAATTAGATTGTAGCTCTATTATCTCTAAAAAAATAAGACATCTCGGCCACCTACGACTAAACCCCGCTAAACAAGGAGAAGAAAAACATCTCGACTTTTTCTACTGTCTGTTCTGTCTAGTGTCTAGTTTGAGTTTATCTCAGTGTTTATAATTTAAATTACATTTCCGAAGTTTGAAAATGATCAAACTATTTTCATTAAAACAGCAGAAAAAAGATGGAGAGTCATTAGCGAGGCCAAATACACAAAAAAGGGCATCTGCTGCTCAATTAAGAATCACCAAAGGTTAATTTTTATATTCACAAAACATAAGTTAATGCTTTTGTGGATTTAGATATACTTATATATTATATTATTTTGAAATTTTACTACATTGAATTTTTTACTATATTGAATTTTTTACTATGGTGATTTTTTTACTAGGATTTCTTGAGTTATATTATCTTCATTTCCGATTTAAAAATTTCTCTTTTAGAGCGATTAAATTGCTCTTTTTTTAAATTTGTAATGCATTATTGGTTTCTAACTCTATAAAAAGCTTAATAGCTTTAGTGGTATCATGTCGCCTTTTATAATTTCCTCTTCTTTTTGTTTACTAGTCATTCAAAATTCAAGAGCAGATAGACAATTATGTTTGAAGTGATCATATTGTATACAGTAAGCAAAGAAAAAATGGTTTTTGATTGAACTGTAGCGTTTTCGTGTACTATGATGCTGTATTTATTGTTAAAAGGACATTTTAAATATAATAATTAATTTAAGTTATGATTTATATGACAAATTTGATGGCAAACTCTCTTAGAATATACATCCATTTTTCGATTTCTTTGAATTTTAAGTCCTTCAAACATTGGACGTAAACAAAATCTAGGAAAATATAACCTCAATTCCTGTTCTCATTTCATTCTTTTTGAAAGATATTAGTGATTGTATTCTAATGAGTTTAATTCAAGGAAATTTGAATTGGGATCATGTCAAAACACAATTCATTTTTAGCAAGGATGAACTACCCACATTCTGCGAGCCAAAAGTTTTCCCAAAAACCTTTAAGTTGGCCCCTGAGCTGTCTAAAATAGTAATAAAAAAATAAAAGATGAAAAGCAACATTATTTTTTAAATCCTGTTATGTAACAGTAAGTTATTGATCTAGTTTACTGCCTTTCTCAAATTATGAATGTCCTATTAATGTAATGGGTTCAGAGTTTGTGAAAATAACTTATACTTTTTAAAAATATATACTTGTGAAAATAACTGAATTTGTACAACTAAACTTAAAGAGAAAAAAGAAAATTTTGCAAATTGATAAGAAAAATAAATTTTTTTTTAAAATTTCGACAATTTAGCAATAGTTATCAAGTTGATCTAATGCTGTATTAGTAACACATTTTTCTTTCTGAATAATAGTGAAAGTTAACTTTTAGGTTAAATTCAAATTTATGGTACCTTTTTTATTATGTGTCTATAAATTTGCTTTGTAATCTAATAAGTATATTTGTTAAAATGTATTTACAATAATTATTTTTATTATCTGCATGAGAGTCAGTAATTATATACATTTTGTAACTAATTTTTATTACTTTTAAGCCGAATCTAAACATTCCTTGTATTTTTATAACTTTGCATTATGTTAATTTTCGCCACCAACACTGCATTTTCTAGTTTTTGTGGCCCCCGTTACCTGAAATTGGTTGTGCTTCCCTGAGTTTAAGTCATTGACAAATTATTCTTATTTTCTGTCATTTATCTTTCCCCTCAAGGAAAATTTCACTTTCTTTTCAAAGCTTGCTTAACATGAAGACACATCTGGAATTAGTGCAGTCTTAGGTCAGAAAAAACAAGGTTGGAATGCTCTGTTACTACTAAATGCTTGATAATATTTGAGTGTAGTATAAAAAGGTTCTTTTTATAGATACTTGATGAGTATTTTACAGTAGATTTTACAATATTCCAATCAATCTTTTGTAAAAAAAAAAAAAAATTTTTTTTTAAATGAAAGCATTTAAAAATTGCAGTTTGTCGAATTCTAAATAGTTTGGATTTCACTGCACTAATTATTCCAAATTTTTAAAAATATTTTCATTGTTTCAAATTTTTTCATTACGATCCAAACTTATTTATTTTTTACCTTCCTTTATATAATATTTAGATATCAATGAACTGAACCTTCCAAAAACTTGCAAAATGGATTTTCCTGAGCCTGATGATCTTTTGAACTTCAAGCTTATCATATCTCCAGATGAAGTATGTATTTTGGCATATTTCTTGACATATATGATTTTCTGTTGTTGGAAAATGACTATTTGAGAAAAATTCATGTTTGTTAAATATAATGTTTGGAGCTCTTATCAAATCTTGATTATTTGATTTTATTAATTTGTTTGATTGTTGATGCTGAAAATTTTTCCTTTATACTCTCTATTCAGTAAATTTTTGTAAAGAGTTTAATTATAGTAATTTCCGGTAGTTAGACTGCGCCTTATCTTGTGTTTAAAAGTTCAACTGTCACGAGGTGCCGCCTATACAAAGAATTAATTTCCTCTAAGCCATGTGTAATAATTTTGTGATTGCAGTGGATTTATTCAAAAACAGATTTCTACAGTAAATTGCAGCTTGATTTTTTGATTGTTGAATTGAAAATTGATTTTTACAGGTCACTGAAGAATCCACATTTTATAGGCTCTGGTTACATTTGATCATTACTATAATGTCACGCAAGCATCATTGAAGACTCATCATTGAACTTGCAAAAAACATTTATGAAGCAAGAAAAAAATAAATGAAACAACAATAACTTTCTGGCACTAAAAAAACAAATCCACTAACACTTGATGAATGAAAGGTTGGAATGTTGCAGCTGCATTTCACAATCCGAGTGGCAAATACAAAAGCTTGAAAAGTCCAAACTGAGTTATTGTTACAGTTTTTGGCACATCGTTTTGCATTGAAAAGTGGTAGAAAGCTTTTGCTTAATTATTAATCTTCAATTTAATTTTTGCCTAAATAGTTCTCAATCCATATTTTTTATTTAAAAAACAAATCTAGCTTAAGAAATCTTATAATAAATTTACCTTTAAATCTATTAAACTTATTTAGTCCAAGCACCTTAATGAAAATGTTAACTATTTGTGTATCTGGTATCTGTGGGACAATATTTAGTAATTATCAAAACTTCATTGACCTTTTCTTTTTATGAAATGAAATCTTATATTTATATGTTTGCTTCGTTTGCTTGTTACACCGTTTGTTCACAACACTGTTTTATTTTTTATTAAACTTATTGTACTTTGGTCATATTAGGCATTTAAATTTTATTTCCAGTCATTTCTTCTATTGAAATCTTAAAGTAGATCAACTCTTGACAGCATTCCACATCCGCAATATTTTCTGCTGTGGTACTTGATGCAGAGCTCATTCTAGGCAGGGTAAACAGGGTGCAGCACCCTGCTGCCCTTTTAGTCAAAAGAATCCACCTTGTTGCCCCTCCCTGAAGTAAATCAGTGCTCTGATATAATAGACTTCATAACCTTTTTGCCCTTTCTTTCCTCAACCCTTCTTTGTTTTTTCCCCAAACTCTACTATGGATATCTTAAACTTTTGTTACTTTCAACTCTTTTTATTTAGTTTGTCATTGCTGTCAATACATAGGAATACATTTACATGGGAAAGGAAAAATAGCTATCACACCCCTTGTTGCACTTGTCATTGAAAGTTTGTAGTAACTTCCACTACCATTAAATCATAATTATTAATCATTTTAATTATTAAATCATAACTACAGAAACTTAAAAACAAACATTTATTTTATTAATATATGCATGCATTTTAAATAAATTACTAAGCTACTAAATAAATTACTACCCATTAACTCAATATATATGTTAATTTATTAATAAAAATTAGTAATTAATATGATTGCTTTGCTACTTTTATTAAAGTAAAGAAAAAAAATTCTTTTACTAATTGACAATGTTTTTTAATAGAACGTGTAAAGCCCATAGAAAGAAATTATTGCCTTTTTAGAATAATAATGCCCTTTTTTCTGCCTAGAATGAGCTCTGCTTGATGTAACTATAGAATGTTTTCTTGAATATCAATTTATTAGACCTCCACTGAAAAATATTACACAGCCTGTAGTACTTTTACAAGTTTCAGAATATCTTGCATAATCAGAATCACAATAGGCAACTAGTTCTTCATCATTACTATCTTTTGAATGAAGGATAGCATCTTTTATACTTTCTTTTAGGTATCTTAAAATTCTTTTAGCATTTGTGATATTTCCCTTTGAGAGATTCTTAACATAACTGCTACTGTTGCTTAACTGTTATTTACCACAAAAATTATATCTGGTGTTGTTCTTGATGAAGGATATAGAAGATTATCAACTGTTTCTCAAGGAAACTGAAATGGGTGCAATGGGCCTTGGCCCTCAATGGGCTGCAGTGCCACTGACCTTAGTTCTTCATTCAATAACCTTGCTGTTAAAATGTGTTTAAGTTTTTTTCTTTTTCTCAGAAGATTCTCATACACTTTGAAAATGCTTATATTTGTTCTGAAGAATAGATAAAAATTTAGATATAACCATTTAATCATCAATTTGTTTTTCCAATGTGTTTAAAATAAATGCGATGTGTTCTAAGTTGCTGATAGTAGGGGCGATATCGAAGTCTTTATTGAATCTATAATTAAAGAATTATAAATAAAAACATACTTGTTACGAATCTCTTTCAAAAACATTTCAAAATTTTGAAAGAATATCATAAACACTATTGTATGTTAAAATATGCATCGCTGCTTTTTTATCTATGGTACTAACTATGATCTGTTGTGCTTTAGTATCATTTTTGTTACTATAGTATCATTATGTACTTTTGGAATACAATGTTTCTACCCAATTTTCCTTACTAGTTTACGTATACAAAGTTCTGATCTTTTAATTTCTCAATATTAATTAGATCACCACTTATCTGTATCATATTTTTTTCTTATATTTATTACTCTTCAGTTTTATGGAACTATTGATCTGTTTTTATGTTTTGGTACCCTTGACCTGTTTGGTACAGTGGTTTAAGGAAGAATAAATTGCAAATTCATTAACAAACAGAACATAAAATCAACTCATAAACTATGCAGAGTAAATTTTAGGTTTCACTTTTTAAGATTGTTACTTTTTACTTTCGTAGAACATTTCTAAAACATTTGTTTTTACTACAAGTTTCTCAACCAAACGTTGCCACTAAAATATTTTGTAAGTTTAGTAAAAACATTAATTATTTTTAAAGCACTTTGCTGTTGTAAATGTAGGGAATCCTGCTAGCAATTGGTGGAATTTGGATTTCTTATTAATGCTTTAATAGTTTAGGTATTTCCACCATATAGAATAATTTTGGTTTGTAACTTGGTCAATGGATCAGTCAAAACACCATTTTTAATATCCTTTAACAGTCCAAAATTGAGCCAGAAATCAGAATCATTAATTACTTGCAAAACGGCAGAGATGATACAGTTAGAACTTCCTGTAATACCAGCATTGTCCAGAATTCTCAGCCCGTCAGGTTCAACTTTTAGAGTGTCATTGACTATGCTCCCTTAAATGGTCACATGTACAGGACTCTACACAAGAAATTATTTCACTCAACGTTATTTGAAAATTCGACTAATCTGTTAATTAATCTGTTATCTCAACATCTAGCATATCATTAGTTAACATAATTGACATTGTGTTAACTAATGATATGCTAGATGTTGCCATTTATATATAAATATATATATATGTATACAGAAATATAGATATGTATACATATATATAGATATGTATACATATATACATATATATACATATATGTATACTCATATATGTATACACACATATATATATACATATATATATATATATACATATATATTTATACACACATATATATATATATATATATGTATACACACACACATATATATACATATATATCAAGTCATTTTTTAGTTGATTAATAATGATTGAAAATTATTTTTTTGAATATGAATAATTACTTTTCTCCAAACTCTTTTAGCTTTTTAGGCTCCGTTAGTAGATTTCATTGTATTTAGACTAAAAAAATTTAAAAATGAAATTATTAGAAGCTATTTTCTTGTAAATTTCTAAATTAACATATTATTATTTTTAAATATAGAATATCTTACATTGCTACTTGTATTTTTTTGCTGTTCTATATTCTATGCTTTTTTTTTTGTTAAAATATTTCTCAATTTTCTTTAGGGATTTTATCGTGGTGGATGCTTTACATTCAGCTTTAAAGTTAGTCACAACTACCCACATGAACCTCCAAAAGTGAAGTGTGAAACTATGGTTTATCATCCAAATATTGATTTAGAAGGAAATGTCTGTTTAAATATCTTAAGGTAAAGTTAAAATATTTTTACGTTTGTAGCTGTATTTTGGAAAATATAGTCCCAAACGTTTGGGTACGAAAGAAGTTGAACTTTTATACCCTTGAATGTTGTTTTTTTTTCTTAGCATTTCTGTATATCCTAAGTACATTTTTAAGGGAATCAAAAAAAAAAAAAAAAAAAAAAAAAAANTTTTAATAAGGGAAAAAAAAAAAAAAAAAAAAAAAAAAATTAAACACACATACTAAGAAAATTTTTTATTCAGTGCAAATTAATTTTTAATAATTATTTTTATTAAACAATTTATAAATATTTCGAAGTGCTATTTAAAAACAATTCTAAAGATGAAATTAACATTAAAAGGTTTAAACTTTCGGTTGCTCTCCTACTTATACTATTAGGTCCATATTTTCTAGATTGCTGCTACCAGGAGTTTTTGAAACTTAGTTCAACATCTTTGCCAAAAGTTTTAAAATTAAAAGATAAAAATTGCCAAAAATTGTTTGCTAGTTAACTACTTTTTTCTATATGTTTTGCAACTATCAAACATCTTGCACTTTGTATTCTCACCTGTTTTTCTTACATTTGCCCAATATTTTTTAAAACTATTTCCTCTGTTGTAATTTATGATTAAAAAAAGAATAATTAAGAGGAAGATATGGGGTGAAAGAATAAGCTACTGCCACCATTTATTATGACTCTAAAGGGAGAAACGCCTCCTTTCAGGGAGAAATGCATCCTCCACAACAGTGTTTTTGATTCAGATGTTAAAAACTTCTAAAAAGTTTCAAATTTCATATAAATTTTTTTTACTGCATAGTAAATACACCTAAAGTGTAATATAAAACATTAAAAAACACCAAGTGTTCTTATTCACTAATAATTATTTAAATCTTCAGATATGTAGGTTAAAGGTTTTGGTCATTGTTAATCAGTGGACATTGTTGATCTGAAGGGTACACATCTTTAGTGATTGTAATCTGAGTTCCGACTTTTTTACTAAGTTTTATTGATTGATATAGATATTTTAAAATTAATTTTTGCTAAAGATTAAAAGGTTTTTTTTTCCTTTTTGCTTATGTGAAATATTTTGCAATAAATTATTGCAAAAAAAAAAAAGAAATTTCATTGGCTCTTGCCTTAATATAATAAATTTTTTTATAGCTCTTTTAAAAAATGAATTAAATAATAGTGTTATCCAGCACAGTGTTCTGATTCAATTTTAAATGTTCTGGCTAGTCTAAAAGTGATTGAAATGTTGATTTATGTTACATTTTCTTTGGAGAAATGTTCGCAATAAATTCTACTTGTAATGGTTTGAAAACAGTTGAAACTTGTTTAGTTACTGGGCTCAGAGCTCCTGTAGAGATTTGGTTGCTCTAGCTTGTCTGAAAAAGGTTGCAATTTTGATCTAAAAACTTCCCTTTTACAATCCAGAGTGTTCTTAAATGTTCTGAGAGAACAAAAATGTTCTGAGATTATAAAGAGAGTTAGTAAAAATGTTATTTAATATAAAATAAAGATCAAAAACATTTTAGAATTATTTGTAAGCTCTGCTGCTTATTTTGTATCAAATTTTATAATAGTCATGTCTAAAATGTAGGTGCAAGTCACTAATATTAATTTCAAAAACTTAGTAAAGAATGCAACTGCCAACATTTTGTTATAGTTGTACAGATTTAAGTTCCATCTGCTTCTGCTGTTACTTTTTATATGTACTAAATAAGCACTACGTTTGAAGAATGTTATTTGATTTAAAAAATTCAAATATAATGAAATTATTCTTTTTTACATCTGATTATTTTTAAATGTAAATTTATGGGAAATTATCATGTTGCTCTGTTTTCACATCACTATTTTTTTTTAAAAAAAGGGCAGTTTGTTGTCTAAATATTTTATGAAAGCGTAAGAAAATTGATTTTTTTGTGGATAAATGTGTTTAAAGTTCTCATTTTATATTTTCTGTTTAAATAATTGTGTTGTTTCAATTGTTATATTTGCACTTGTACTTAAATACTAGATCTCTTTTTACAAACATGTTTAAAAACAGTAAAATAAAGTTGATTTAATACTATGATCTGTGGAAAATATTATCAATTAATCATTCAAATGAAACTTTATTCACTCTTTTTTATTTTAAAACATTTAGAAACTACTTAAACTACTCTTGTTGTAACATTGGGTTAGTTAGTTGAATCCTTTTACTAACTGAAATAATAAAAAAAATAATTTTTTTTTGCAGTAATTTATGTTGATTCTTGTCACCAGACAGAATTATAATTTTACTCAAAACATTTTATAGTGTTTTTAATTTTATAGTGATTTAATTTTTGTTAATTTTTTAGTGATTTAAATTTAAGTGTTGTCAAAGCTTGTTATCCATGTTGTGCTTCTTCCTTTTGCAAAAAGCCCTGTAGTTTTTTTAAAGTATGCTGTACTGGAAAACCTTTTTTGAGTAAATGTTTAAATCAATAGTTGATGCAAGAAAAAAGCATCTAGGCAAAGGGAAATTTATGATGCAATAGTCCCAATGAGTCGATTACTGTTAAATTTTAAAATACTTTTAATTAATTTTATTTTAAACAATTCTCTTTCACCATTATGCAAAAATTGAAAGAAAAAAAATTTTATCTGCAGATTTTTTAATTTATTAGTTATTAATATTAAGAAACTTATATTATAGATATTAATAAAGTTATAGATATTAATAAACTATCAAAATTTAGAATAATTAACTTCTTTTAAAAAGGAATATGCTATGACCTTCTGGTGGAAATCATGTCTGACTCATCACAAAATAAAATACAAGTGTAAAAAAAATTCTTTTGTTAATTTAGCAAATGATGTATAAAAGTTCTCACTGATACCAAAATTGCTTTTTTCTAATAGGGAATCAAATCACAAAGCATAAAACAAAGATGACTTCATATTCAGTTAGAGCTATCTGTATAACAAATGTTAGACTTAACCTAATTAAATGTTTGAGTATCAGCATCATCAGCATTGGCACGACAGCCCTTTGTGGGCCTGGGCCTTCCTCAGAAGCTTTTCCCATTCTGCCCTTCTCCCAGCAATTGTTTTCCAGTTCTTTACTTTTAGGATGGCAAAATCCTCATCTACACAGTCCTTCCATCTCTTTTTGGGCCTTCCTCTTGGCCTTTTATTGGAGGGGGTTGCATTAGAGACTCTCAATGCTGTTCGTTCTGGGCTCATTCTCACTACATGCCCGGCCCATCTCATTCTACTTAATTTAATAGATTTAATGATATCATCGCCATCAAAGATCCTATATATTTCAAAATTATATCTTTTCCTCCAGTTGTCGTTATCGAGTATAGGGCCAAAGATGGTTCGTAGGACCTTCCTTTCGAAGGTTGCTAATAACTTTTCTTCCCTTTTTGTTAAAGTCCATGTCTCTGAAGCATAAGTCAAAACTGACTTGATTAATACCTTATAAAGTAAGATCTTAGTCTTTCTTTTTATTAAGTGAGATTTCAATAATGATCTTAAACCATAGAAGCAGCGATTGGCTGCGATTATTCTTTTTCTAATT